CCCTCTCCCCAATCTTGCATGGGAAGGAGACCCTCAACATTCCTATTCCGGACATATAGTCTGGGTGGATTGATTTTACCTGAAGGAGACAGTTCTAGATATACAGTATTTGAATGCCGAGCCATGTAGATTTCATAGGTTAAAACTGCACTTTAAACGATGCTCAGAAGCCTATTGGTAGCCAGTGCAGAGCTAGCAATCACGGAATGTAATATAATAATGATAGTTCTCATCCACCAATATGTGGGCTGCCGCATTTTGTACCAACTGCAGTTGTTGGGTAGTCTGCAGAAGGCCCAGTGAATAAAAAGCAAATTACAGTACTGTATTCTGTTCTAGAGGTGATAAGGGGAAGATTCACTGCCACCAGGGCCTCTCCTTCCAGGAAGAGCCATAACTAGCACATCAATCAAAGCTGGGCAAGACTCCACTAGCCATGCCCTCCACCTCATAGTTTCTGTGATTCTGGGGAAAACCAATGTGCAGACCTGCTCTTTCAAGGGAGCACAACTCTTAACACAGCATAAAGTGAGCCAGATGATTTCCGGAAAAAATGGCAAATCTGTCTTAACAGGGTTCAACTTCACCCAATTTCTTTCCATCCATCTCCTCATAGCTTCCAAGAACCAGGTCAAGGCTCCAACTGCATATTCAGCTCAGACCAGGTTGGATCTGAACATGATCTGTGTAACAATGATACCTCAGCCTCTAATGGCAGATGAACACTCCCAGTAGCTTTGGATATATGTTATAGATGAGACGAAAGAGAATTGAACTCCATTATATAGCATAAGCAAGCAATAGATTCAGTTCAGTCTAAAAGAAGCTAGAAAGTCAATGCACTAAAAGAGGCATATCTGAACTAAGCCTCTCCATGCTCTTTTCTTGTTCACTTTCCTACTACAAAAAAGACCTAATCATAAAGGGTAAAAAAATCCAAGAAAAACTTTCCAGAGAGAAATAAAAAGTTTCGTTATACTTGTTGATCTTGAGTCAATACTCTCCTAAAACTGGTCCATGATGCATGGGTGATGTGAGAAGACTGAATGGCTAATTCTAAGTTTTCTGTCTTGGGACAAAGGATGGGATACAACTGCATTTGATCTCCATTATATATATTATAGCCACTACATAGAATAACATATAAAATTATACTGTCAACTCTACAATGAACCTGGCTGCAGCCATTTTTCTCCTCATTCTAGATTGCCAGATAGAACGAAGGGAGGGGGGCTTGCCCAGGTGCTTCCCTAATCAAAATAATCTTCTGCCCCGTGGGAACCAAGGTCATCTATTGCTCCCGCAATCAGGGACTGGGCATTGTTTAAAAAAAAAAGGCCCGCCAAATGAATATATTGGGGAACATAGTTGATTGCATAGTTTTGTGGGTAGGACATTATACTTTGTAACTAGGTAATTTTTAGTTGTAAATTCAGACTTGGTTTCACTTTTGATTGTGCCAATACTTGTAACTAATAAACATGTTCTTTGAGGAATTTCCAAGCCTCGGAGTTCTGCTTTATTTGTCTCTGTCTGTTGGAACCATGACATATACATTATATTATATAGATACTATACCATATTTTTACAGAGAGGGGCTTTTTTTAAAGACAGAAGTATATTTAAGGACTTGGTTCAAGAATTTTATGATCCATATTTGTAAGTACAAGGTGTTCCCAATTGATTAAGGTATGTAAATGAGCAGTGGGAAAGAGCCACATTTCCTATGATATTGAGGCTCTTTACCAGAAGTTATTGAAATAAAACAATTCTCACTGATTGACTGTTGACATTATAATGAAATGATTGATTAATTTCAAATAGTTCAACCTATCTCATAAATAAAACAAGCAGCTGTGTGATCAATTGACTATGTGCCATCAAGTCGATGTTGACTCTTAGTTACTAACATAGATAGATTTTCTTCATGATGTGCTATCTCTAATCTGTTCCTTCAGGTCTTCCAAGTAGCAGTGTAGCTTCTCTCAATCAAGAAAGGTTAATAGTCTCCCTGAAAAACTGGGCTTCAGCTTTATTTATTTTTCAAGTAAGCTTGTGGGCTTAATTCAAAGTGGTCATTATCTGTAAAGTTCTTTAAACTGCAGCACTGGGATACATTGGGGAATGATTTGACAGAATTAAATCTGCCCATCTGGACCAGTTGTTTAGGGAAAGCCTATTGAGAATTCTACCCTTCATTAGAACCAAGGGAAGAGGGTGGACCAAATACCAGGTCTTCTCCACAGCAGCCTTTGGAATATTCTCCCCACAAAGATATGGGCAGCTCCTACCATTCTTGCATTTAATAAAAACTACATTCAGCCCTAGGTGATTTGATTGAAAATATCTATTGTAAATATTTTGATCACAGGAATGACATTTGCTTTTGTAATTACTGTAATCTCTCATTTTAGTAATGCTGTGTGCCATCAAAAGTCCTTCAGGAGTAAGATGGGGTACAAATATTGTTTGATTGATAAATAAATACGGTACTAAAGTCTATACATAAGAAAAATAAATCAAATACACAAATCTAGGATGGGGATATCTGGCATGATAATACCACTTGTGAAAGAGGTATTGTAGAAGAACACAAACATAATATGAGTTATCAGTATATTTTGGCTGCAGTAATTGTTCCATTATATTCTACTTATGTCAAACCCAGCCTTGAGTATTTTGTGAAGCTTTGGGCACCATATTTTAAAGAACATATAGAAAACTGGAACTGATGCAGATAAGGGCAATAACGATGATTAGAGAAATACAAATCTTACAAGGAGTGATTAATGATAAGGGAAAGATATGAGAACCACTGTAAGACAAGGGTTAAGGGGTTGGATCAGATCTGAAGAAACCCAAGTTCATGACCATGCTCAGCCAAGGAAGCTCGTTAGATGACTTTGTGGGGATCAAATTGGAGTAGGGAGTGCTGTGTAGGTCATCTTGCGATCCTAGTGAAAAGTTAGAATTTAAATCCAACAGTGATAAAAAATAAGAAATAAATATGCAGCCCTTATTAAATCCCTGAAAGAGTGTTACATAGAAGATCAAGATGAAAGCTTGTACCAGAAGGCAGAACACGGATGCTGAATGTTATTACATCCAGCTCAATATAAAACGCATAACTGGTAACGGTAAATTTTAATGTCTGGAGAATAAAAGCTATTTGACAGTGGAACCAATAATGTACTCCTGTATACGGAGCGAGGAACAGATGAGAAAAGTGGTGACAGAACAGTTTCAGATGCTTTAGTTTTAGACTTCAGGAAAAAATTGGGAGACAAACTGGTAACATTTATAGCAAAGTTATGGTAACTTTTTGATCAAGCTTCAACTCAGCCTTAGAATTTTTTTTTTGATACGTAGCCAAGGAATGCAGTAATTGCAGCTATGATTCAAGAAGGTCAAATGGATACTGGTATATCTATTGGCTTGAGATGGTAAGCATATTTGGAATTACAGTCACAAGCATTTTCACAAAAGGCTGCGATGAAGGGATTCTACTCTTGCAACCCTTTTATGAGCAGGCAAACAAGTGTTTTGCCTGTATTGTCTCCTCCAATCCTCTCTCCTGGCCACAATCCATTATTCTTGGCAGACGGGTGCATTTCCAAACAAGGCACTGAACTGCAGTCACTTACCATATTTATTTTTTAGAATATTAGGTGGGCCCTGAAAGCATTCTTTAAAGAGCATTGTAGAAGTTTGTGTTGCATCGTTTAAAATGAAAAGAATGCTAAAAGTTTGAGTTGCAGCATTAAAAGAATATTTTCTTTAAAAAGTCAGATGGGGAAAGAAAGCTAGCTGAAGCCTATAGATATTTGGGTGTTGATGGGTAGTATAGCACATTGCCTATTTCTAAAATGTATCTCTTGCTTCTTCTCCTCTAGAGGCTACTAGAGATTGGACAGCCATTTGCCTAGAATGTTATAGAGCAGGGGTAGGCAACCTTGGCTCTTTTATGATTTGTGGACTTCACCTCCCAGAATTCCTGAGCCAGCATGGCTGGCTCAGGAATTCTGAGAGTTGAAGTCCACGAGTCATAAAAGAGCCAAGGTTGCCTACCCCTGTTATAGAGTCTCCTGTTTGACCAAGGACTAGAAGACCTCTAAGGTCCCTTCCAACTCTGTTATTCTGTATTCTATAAGACAAAGACCTATTTAGATGAAAATCTCCTTACTGAAAAAATCTTTTAAGGCTGTGCAAAACTTTAGATTTAAAAGAAAGAAAGTGCTCTGGAACACAAGGGGGCGCAAATATAACATCTGTCTGCAACTCCTGAAGCAGCTGCATCTCTTCTGAGCATCATGCCTTCCATAGATGCTGTGCTATTCCACGAAAAGATGTGTTTGCAGATAGGTACTATATAGGTGCCTCCACCCACTCTTAAGTGTCTTTTTGCCTTTAAAGCCATAATTCTGCATAGATCTAGTGCCTTCTAACTGTCCTCTAGCACCAGAATGACATGCATTTTTCTTGCTTTTTGTAATAAATAGTAGCAAAAGATCCCCCGACTCAGAATCATTGAATAACTTTCCTTCTGCCACAACAATCTGCAACACAGGTGGTTAACTGGGGAGAAATATACGTCTGGCGTGGTTCCACTTTACATTTACCTCTCATTTGTCTCCTCTTGCATGAAGAAGCCAGAGAGAGGACAGTTCTCTGACCTCACTTGTGCTGAGCTGCTGCTGCAATATTTTAGCGACGCTTAGAATAAATTATCTGGAAACCAAATCGATAAATCCATAAAATGCTTTCCATCTACTGAGCCAAAGGATGTTATTTTGATAAAGGGAATTTTTAAGTGGACAAACTCTTTATACTATCAGATGCTGCTGCATGTTCATTTCAAACTCTTTTCTTATAACCCTAACCCCTGGCCTTCCCCAACAATGTTTCACTCTCGTTTTTAATGAATCCCTTCTTCCCCCAAAGGTTTATGAAGTACAGAGTAAAACTGGAATGGGAAAAACACAGACACACAAAAGACACACCTCTGGGCCAAAGGCAGTGGGAGAAAGTTGAGAGCTGAGGTCATATCGAGCCCACAATCCAACATGATGGTGGTAGATTTGAACTTGAGTACGTTGCATGGTAAAGTCGGATGCCCAGACAAGCAGTACTAAAACAAAAATCATATTAAGTACCATCATTAGGAAAAGATAATAGTACACTCAGAATACAGGAAGGAGACTTGATACTATCTAAGAATCCTTACCATGTTTAAATACTATTTTAATATTTTAATAATATTTAAAAATTTCTAGGTGATGACAATTCTTAACTGATTTCTTTGGATAGATAAAAGTAATTTTTACTATTGTGCAGTATTTCTCAGTATCTACTGGATTTTGGTTTATGGCTATTTATGCCTACCAGAGTATAATTAACATTTCCTAAATTAATATGCATCACGTTATGCTATACCTCACGGAACAGCAACAGAGGCCACTGAAATGCAGAATGCATTCTGAGTACAATTGTATTTGTGGCAGCAAAACACTGGACGCTGATTAGTTATGCTGGTGTGATGGTTTGCAATGAACAGTTTACCATCCAGTTTCTAAGTAAGAATGGAACTCGGTTCTTTTTTCTGGGATTAGATGTTCAAGTAGACAATGATCATTCGAAAAGATCTAGGATATATAGAAGCAGATTCACCAGCTGCTATTAGCAGAAGCAGTAAAATTTCAGATATATCACTCCCAAACTTGAGCAACTCCTATTGCTCAAACCTTCAGCTGGAGAAAAAGATCAGGAAGCAAGATCAAGAATCTTGATCCTTCATTGAACGTTTCCAATATCTGTGCACTCTTGTATATAGACAAGAAAGAGGAAAGGACACAGAGCCATTTAGAGCTATTGATAGATGTAGACATGGTACAATGACATTAAGGGGAAAGCATTATCCATTTTCTGAGAAGAATATGAGTAGAAAGAATTATCAAGTGTAAGTTCTTCCAGACTTTCAGAAGACTCTCAGGGATTCCCACATCAGCAACATATCCAATGGCAGCAAATGTGTGTATACAGGGGGGTGTGTGTGTGTGCATGTGAGAAAAAAGCCCCATTATAAAGCTGAATGAATTTAAAGTGGAAATGCATGTTAGGAACTAAGCCAGTTTATAGGTTAAATCAGTTTGAGATGGAAGGTAGTACCCAAACAATAAACAAGTTAATGAAAAAAACAAAACAAAACCTTTTACCCTTTTCTAACCTGTTACGGCTTATGGAATTTTTGAATAATAAAAACAATAATACTATTTATCATTCCTATATTAAACAGATACACTAGTTACCATTTGGTTTCTGGACACAATTGAAGGTGTGAAATATGGTGTGTTTAGACCAGGTTTACAGTGTTATTGGTATAGGTTACAGATACAGTTAACATCTATACTGTAGCTAACTCTGCTTTTTCTGTAGAAAAATGTATACTATAGAACAATTCATTGTGCAGTTTAGATTGCTGCACTTAGGAGGTCGGCTTCTAACATCTTTCTACCAAGGTCTTTTAGTTTAGATGTTGTTATGCTGGCAATATTTCAATGGTTTTAATCACTATATTGAATTTTAAATTGGATTTTAGATATTCATAAGCCACTAAGAACCACAAAATGGGAGCAGTCATATATTACATTTCAAATAAGTAACATATGGAACAGCATAATATGTTTACCCTAGTAAACTTAAACTGCAGCCACTAAATGGGATGCAACATTTGGGCTGTAATCCTGGGCATATTCGGATTGGGAGCAAGTCGTATTTAAAGCAGTGAGAAATAAATCAGAATAAGCAAACAGTATACATTTCATGAACCGGTGCCTCCTTCATTTTTTCCCTTCCTCCTTCCTATATCCTTTTGTTGGTGTCTACAAGCTTCCCAAAAAACTTTTCAATAAAAGAATTAGAATAAATACTATAAGTGAATAGCCTATTCTTGAGTGAAAGTGTAATATACTAGTCTCTTTAAAATGCAATGAATGTTATACGTTGGTCTCAATTTCCCTAGAAGAAGTTTTAATTCACTAAAAAAGAATAAAAATGATGCAACCAAAAAACATTTTGTTAAAAAAATGTTTAAAAGTGCTAAATTTTCTAAACCTGAAATGTTAACTTCTTTATCACCTGATCTGACATTTCAAAATTTCTATTAAATAAAAATAAAATAAATGATAAAATAAAGCAAAACAAAACAAATACAGCATGAGAGCCAACTAACCGGCTAGCATTTTCTTCTCTTACCCCAGGAACCTTATATAACAGATTTTCCTCACACTGATATTTTCAGATGTGTACACTATTGCATCTTTGAGACAACACATATTGGCTGGGGATATTAAGAATTCTAATCTAAGACATTTGTGGGTACAAATTATAAAAGGCTGTTTTATACTGTAAGGATGTGCTTTTGTCTAGTTTTGAACATCATTTTACTATTACTAAAATGATAACTGTTCGACACTTTTTAATATCAAATGAAAAGTGAAGGGAAGGTTATGCCATGATAGTTTTCCCATAAGACTTCCAGGGATTAGTAGTCTTATTTGCATGTTAGGCCTTTCCCTTATTTGTACAGTGCAGACAACAAAGGAGATGCCCACAATGACCATAGCATCAGGTTTTGTTTAAAGTAAGAAAGTATACTTGATTTCAAAATAATTCTGATATGCCATTAATAAAAAGCTTGTGAGATCAAAACCAGAAAGTCAGAGTCTTTGCAATCTTGCTGGCAACAAAGCCAGTACAGTATAGAAGCTAAGTATAGATTTGAACCAGGGACACCAAGTTTCAAATCTCCACTCATCCATAGATCTCACTAGCTGACTTTGGACTATCACTCTCTCTTAGTCCAACTCATATCACTGAGATGTTTATGTAGTGTTCTCTCTTGCATGAGCATTTTATGTACTTGGAGTTTTCAAGAGGAAAAATGTTATATAAATGCAATATAAAGAATGATATTGAACATTCAACAGATGAGAGCCAATGTATCTGATATTCAATAATGCACTTTTATATTGTGTGACAGTTTAAACTGTGGACTGCAACTCTTACTGGGGAGATGGAAAGAGACAGACACTGTTGAATGCTGCATAACCTCAATAGATCTTCGTATTTAATTCAGTATGTCATAACATAAGAGTAAACAAAGATAGATTTTTGCCTATCAAGCATCTACTATTTATTTGTATTTCTATATCATTCTTTCTCCCAGAAATATCCAGAGAGTTCACATAGGGGGCAGGAGTTGCAAATAAAACTAATCAAGCTAACAATACTAAAAACAATACATTATAGTTGGCTGAAAAAAAAACAATTGAGACTCATCAAATTACAACTATCCCACCAAAATGGATCATGAGAAATTGCAAACTTTCCCTCCAGAGTTGCAGTACAAGAGAGAGAAATTAGATGGCCCCTCGTGTCAGTCCTCAAATTTCCTGCATCAAAACCCACCAATAGCGCACCCAACTCACCAGCTTCATGCTTTACCCGGCTCTATATACTGGGGACCATGCTTCTCTTTCCTGGTCTAAACCTCTTGCATTGCATCCTGGGTAATGTAGTCCATTACTGGAGCCTGCCCTCTTATTCACTCCTCCCACTCTAAAAATGATGTCACGAGTAGCCATATCTTCGCCGATCTAGAGAGGACGACGGGAATCGTAGTTTTTTCTCGTCCTGATCATCACTCTCCCGTTCACTGTTAGCCATTGGTGTGGCAGTTTTAGCGCAGGTCTCTGGGAGTTGTAGTCCTGGACGGCCCACTTTATCTTCTTACCCTTGGGAAGAAGGAACTACAAGTCCCAGGGTCTCACAGCGGCAGCAGGTGGGAGCTTGGATGTTGATATCAACATGGCGCTTGTCAGACAGACAAAGGCAGTCAGTCTGGTCTGATTGAGCTCAAAAGGGAGCAGGAAGAAGTGGGAGGGGTTTTTTTCTTTCCTTGGGGGGTTCAGGGGAAGCAGAGCTTGGGAGTCTGAAGCAATTCCCCCTCTGGAGCTCCTCTCCATTTTATTTTGCAGGATCCCCCCAAAAAGAAATCTCGTTGCTTTTCCTATTTGGGAGCCACCCCCAACTTCTGCTTCTAAATGGTCAAGTGGAGAAAAAAGTAACCAGAACCAAAACGTGAGTATCCTTTTGACGGCGAAGGGCACGATCAGGGCTGTTCGGGAGCGAAGGGCGATCGTGCAAAGGAAGAGGAGGAGAAGAGGGTCTCTCTTTTCCTTTTGTTTTGGTCGGGCTAGTGGTCTTTCTTTTTCTTTTTGTCCGTTTGGGACTAGAGGGGTGAGTACAATATTCCTTTTCGGAACGCATCCCGAGTGACTTTGTGAGATCTTGAGAATTTTAGAGTGGAGAGAGGACGGGAAAAAAATGTTTTTTTTTCTTCTTTTCTCTTCGCAGCTGAAGGAGGAGAGCCTGTTAAACAAGCTCTTTTAATTATTTTTATTTAGACGATCAGAAGTTTTGAGGGTGCAGCAGCCAGTTCTTTTTCTCTGTTTGATCAGTAGCGTTAACACAGATGAGTTATCTGTTACCCCACTTTAGCTACTCTTTATGAGCAGGCAGAGATAGGATGAAGGCAGTTGCAATCTTTTTTTGAGTAATGGTGGTTTTGATCTGTGCTCCAGAGGGGATTTTTTTTTTGGGGGGGGGAGACCTTTACAAACAGTGATAATGGTTCTTCTGGATTAGTTTTTATTCAGGAGGACAGTAGGGAGTGATAGTATCAATATGTTGTTTTATTTTGTCTCTTCTGGATTTTCCCAAGCTTCTGGAAATCTTGGGTTACTGTTACAGCACCCAGGTAACCTTGCAAATACATTTATCGGGACAGGATTACTCTAATCTGATAAAATATTTTTCCCGACAAATTTGTTTTTGCATAGGTCAGGGTGATGATTTTCCAAGGCATGTAAAAAGGTCAAAGAGGGATAGCCAGACTTGTAGGTCTCCACATTCCATGCAAGTGATATAGACAAGAAATCCTGGATTGTATGATATGTGGGATGATGATAGGATTTGCTGGGCTATATTAAAATAAGAAATTATTGTCTGAGGTATTAACAGGGGAAGGACAATTTTTTAAAATTATCTTGGAGAGGAGTATTTCTTTTTGTTTGGGTGGTTAATTGGAATAGATATTAACAAAAGTGAAATAATTCTGAGCTAAATGAGAGACATTTGGCTTCATTGTTAAGTTTTTCTGAAGAGTTGTTTCTAATATTGAACAGGCACTTGATGTTCAGATTATTTAGGCATCTTTAGTCATAGCTTCATTAAGATTAAATGCTTGCTTTTAATTAAACTTTAATAGCATTGTTGACTCCAGGACACTGAAATTAGTTGAAGATTTCAGGTATAGATTATGTGGGTAAAATACTAATTTTTATACACCTTGTTTAACCAAAGAAGCATTTGTTCATGGGTTTCTTGACAGGGTTTTAAATGAGAAAATATTGACAATTTTAGTGTGCAAAATCTGCACAGGTTGGAAAAGGAGACCTCTGTCTTCATGAAGTGAGAGGCTAGTGTAGAGGGAGTAGTCGCTGGAGACACTGGGGTGTGCCAGCTATTGCAGGATGAGGAAGGGTGATCATCTTGCAAACAGAAAAGCATGACAAGTCAAATGTTGTCAGCTGTTGCTGCATTCAGCTCTTTGCAGGTGTGGAATATGATGTGGGAATATTGATTCAAACTGGAGAGTTTAATATTTAGGTTACTTGAGTTCCCCCATGGTTTCTCTAAGTTAATGTATGCTGATTCAAATTGGTTTTGAGCATCATCAAAGGCCATATTACCTACTTTCTCATTCTGTGTATTGAGGTAGTTTTAACAGCTTAAGTTTCCACCCCCCCAAAAAAAGTTTATGCAATTGTTTGAGCCCTTTGGAAACCATTTTTCTTTCCAACACCAATTCTTAGAAAATTAATAGTTATAACCTACATTTTGAAGCATCTTTAAAGCATTATTCAAGAGTTCTATGCTTAAAGTATCGCATTTGGACTTCAGATGTTTGATTTCAAACCACAGATGCTGTGAATTCATTGTGCAAGTTAATGTGAGCTGATGCAGCATGGTGCTTAAGAAATTATGCTGTGATGTGGGAAGTCCTCTAGTTCCCCATTCTATTTTAGCTGTGAAATCATTAACAATACAGTCCTATTCAGCTATATTCAAGTAATTCATACAGGATTACAGCATAAGTGGCTTCATGCAAACTACCTTTTCTCAGTCTCAGCGTTTCGCATATAGAATATAGTGATAAATTGATATTGCTCTTTTTCAAGGTTATTCATAAAGCTTTATGCATGTGGAATGCTATAAATATTCAGAAGCTCTATATGAGTACTAATTTATCATATCATTGTTTTTTAGTCTTTATGCCTAAAATGAAATTGGGAGTGGAATCTTGCTACTGGTTCTCTGTTGATAATCTAAATAAATAATTGTGAACCCTCTATCTGCCTGAAGAGATTGAAAAGTATAGAAGAATGCAAGACTATCAGAACTTTCTTCCTTCCTTCCTTCCTTCCTTTCTTCCTTCCTTCCTTCCTTCCTTCCTTCCTTCCTTCCTTCCTATTTTCTTCATAATTTATAAAAGGAGCATTTTGCAAAAACAAATTAGAGCTCTATGTAAGAAAACCAAAGATTAAGAGGGATGTACAGTAACTGACTTGACACAATAGCTTAAGCAGTATTGCGATTATATTGACTTAATGTGCATATATCCAAATGGTTGTGACTTATTCAGTAAACCACAATAAAATAAAACATGACTTAGTACAACTTACAAGTTTAGCCACAGAATGTTATGAGCAAAGATTGCGCTTTAAATTGTCAAAGAAGCAATAAGAAACTAGAGGGGTAGCATTTTTGGTGGTGTGTGTGTGAAACTGATTTGACATAATTTTGCTATATCAATACACAGACTGGCTGATACAAAGTTAGCCTTATGCCTTAGTGCTTGCTGACTAGCAGATCAAGAATTGTGTTGATTGATTGATTGCTGTCTGAGGTCTTTTAACTAGTGATTTGAGATATTGAACAGGTTACATCTGCACACAGACCCTTTACTCAATCATAGGGAACATCATATGATGTTGTCTTCATTGATCATTCATCCCTCTGTGGGGAAGAATAATGTTAATGTATGAAGTTATTTTCTTGAGCATGAAGTGGTATTTAAAACATGGGTCTTCTGACCTGACCTGAAATGTTTTGCTAATGCTTTTTGGAGAAAACATGGAATATATTTGAAATGAATATCTAACCTTCAACAACTAAAGTTGACATTTGCAAATTGTCATAGTACAAATCTCTTTGCATCTTCTGTTTTCTCCACTGCCACTCCTGGAATAAAAGCCTGGTTTCTTTGAAAGTTGTACATTTTGTCATAGTGAAGTATGCTTCATTTTTCACAAAGCCAAATCATGGTGTTCAGCCAATAGTCTTTAGACTAAAGTAAAAGTTAATCAGACAGTTAAGAAGAAGTAGCGGGGAATGCTTCCATGCTTTTGAAGCTTTTTGGGATTTTGAACATATGTTTACTACTGACAATGAATTGGCTTTACATTTTATAAGATGAAGTAGAGGTTTACTTTACTAACTCCTATATTTTGGATTGTCACTTTACGTTTCTTTCTTTGCCATTTTCTTGGAAGACCTTTTTAAATACTCTCCTGTCTGATCCTTACCCCTTTGTGAAATGATGGAACAAGATACAGTATTTAATCCTTTGTTATCCTTCCCTTTTCTGTCTCATTTTTCTTGTGTTCTATTGCTATGTAATCACTTTGGGCCAAAGATCCCATCATTCTTGTTTCTTCAAAATGTATTTATAACCTATGTATGAATAAATATGCACTAGTTAGACTATGGTGACTCTTTGTTGAAAAATGTACAAAGAATGCTGCTGGATCTGATGAAAGGTCCACCTAATGCAGCACCTCTTTTATTTCCAGTTTATCAGGTTGTCTTTCAAGGTAGTTAAGTAGAGAAACAAAAAATATAAATGGTCCTTCTGAAATGCAAGTCATAAGTGCAAGGCTCTCTATTGCGGTGTGCTCTTTTCTGTAGAGCACCAAATATCCTTTTCCCTCATTATAGATATTAAAAATTAGAATAAGGAAGGATTAAAAGCAGCTGTTTAGGAAGGTTATGGAATATGCAATATGGTGGGTTTTCAAAAAACTATGCGGTGCAACCGTGCATTCATCAGGCATGTATTAGATATGAATATCTTGTGCATCTGTACAGATGTCTTCTTGAAGTCACTCTACGTGGATTAATATATTATGTGGAAATATATTAATAATCTAATATGTATAATTGGATTGAACAAATACAAATGGATACATTGACCCTTTGTGTGCTTTATTTTGCTATATTGTCCACTACAGAGAATGGCACTTGTTCCGTACGTATTTCTAGGATTGTGGCCATACAACAACATGACCTTTGGCAAGCTATAAAAATCATGCTGTTGCAGATTAGT